TCTGTTCCGCGGGGCAGGTCCCACTCCTCCTCTGTTCCGCGGGGCAGGTCCCACTCCTCCTCTGTTCCGCAGGGCAGGTCCCACTCCTCCTCTGCTCGCGGGACAGGTCCCACTCCTTTTTTCCCCTCTGTCATCTCATCTATATGCTTGGAATTAAATGTCATCCTTGTGCTGGGGACTCAAAAATCTACATTACAAACACAGATGTTGGAGCTGGACAGATGGCTCAACAGTTAAGAACAGTATCTGCTTTTCCAGGGGACCTGAGTTTTTGTTGGGGGGTGGGTGTTTGTTTTGGATTTGTTTTTTGTTTTTTGTTTTTTTATTTTGATATTGTTTTCTTTTTTCTTTGGTTGTTTTTTTTGTTTTGTTTTGGGTTTTTTGGGGTTTTTTGGGGTTGTTTGTTTATTTGTTTGTTTGTTTTTCAAGACAGAATTTTTCAATGTAACATCCCTGGCTGTCCTGGAATTCACAATGTAGACCAGGCTGGCCTCGAACTCATAGAGATCCACCTTTCTTGGCCTCCATAGGGCTGGAATTAAAGGTGTGTGCCACCACCGCCCAGCAAGGACCTGGGTTTGGTTCCCAGCACCTATGTGGCTACTCACAGCTCTCTGTAACTGCAGTTCCAAAGAATCCAATGGGCACCTTCAGAGATATCAGGCACATATGTGGTGACAAATGCGCATACAGGCAAAATACCCATACACATAAAATGTGTTTTAATTAAAATAAAGGGAGGGGGCTGAAGAGATGGCTCAGTGGTTAAGAACAACACTTGATGCTCCTGCAGAAGACCCAAGTTCCATTCCTAGCACCCACATCAGGTGGTTCAGTCACCTGTAACCCTACCTCAGTGCCCTCTTCTGGCCTCCTTTGGCACTGCACAAACAAACCCGCCCCACAGACATACATTCATATAATTGAAAAATGAAGAGGATTTTTTTAAAAACCCAGACGCCTCCCATGTGTTCCACTTAAGGTTATAAGTGGCCATGTGACATCTGACAGTCATCTCCAACTTCACAGGTCCAGAAACAACCGCGAACGGCATACTGGTACACACATTTAGTCCCAGCACTAGGGAGGCAGAGGCAGGCGGATCTCTATGAGTTCAAGGCCAGCCCGGTCTACAGAGTGAGTTCTGGGCCAGGCAGTGAAACATAGTGAGACCCTGTCTCAAAAAAGAAAGAAAAGAAAAGAAAAAAAGAAAAAAGAAATAGAATTGCCTTCTACCAGTGCCTGTGTGAGATCAGCACGGTTCTCCCTGATGCCGCCCTCCCACACACACACACATACACCATCCACATACTCACCTGTGTGTGCTTGGAAGAAACCACACATGCAGTCTGCCCTAATCTGCCCCAGGATCCCTCTTAGCTCATGCCCATGGCTCTCCCCCAGGCAGCCTGCAGGGCCTCCTCACTCCCACCTAAAACGCTGCTGAGGAGATAGATGGTCTCCTCCTCAGCCCTGGGAGCATGACCCTTCACATCTCTTCACTTCTCTGCCCCAGTTTCCTTCCCTCGGTTGTCTGAACATACCAAACACAACAGGGCCTGTTGTTCTGTTCCAGAGTCCTAGACTCTCCTCAGGATTTGGGGCAAGTCTACCTCTTTGCTGCTGTCTCACTGATCCTGTATTAATGGTTAGGGTAACCATAACAAAAGGTTGTAGGCTTGGAGGTTAAACAATTAATTAAAACCACACATGGTGGTACCTTTAATCCTAGCACTTGAGAGGCAGAGGCAGGGGATCTCTGTGAGTTTGAGTTCAGCCTCGTCCACCCACTGAGTTCCAGGACAGTCAGGGATATGTAGAAAGATCCTGTCTCAAAAAGAAAGTAAAAATAATGTATGTTCTCAAAGTTCTGGAGGACAGAAGTCCAATACCATCATGTCAGTAGGGTCCGTGTCCTCTGAGGCCTCGCTCTTTACCTAACCCATGACTGTCTTCCCACCCACCTCACAGGGTCTGTGCAAATGTCCCAGTATCTCTGTGTATCTACACCATTTCTCATATGGACATCAGTCAGATTGGGCTGGGGTTGCCAACTGGCTTCCTTTAACTAACCTTGTCTCCCTCCAGGCGGTGGTGATACACACCTTTAATCCCAGCACTCAGGAGGCAGAGACAGGTGGATCTCTGTGAGTTTGAGGCCAGTCTGGTCTACAAGAGCTAGTTCCAGGACAGGCTCCAAAGCTACACAAAAGCCCTGTCTCGAAAAAAAGAAAGAAAGGAAGGAAGGAAGGAAGGAAGGAAGGAAAGAAGGAAGGAAGGAAGGAAGAAAAAAGAAAAGAAAAGAAAGAAAGAAAGAAAGAAAGAAAGAAAGAAAGAAAGAAAAAGAGCCTCATCTCCCAATGAAGCCACATGCAGGTCATTCTGAGGTCCTATGAGTTGGGCTTCAATGTAGTAGTTTTAGGAGAACACATTTTACCCCATAACACCCTCATGTGGGTCTTCCTCAGCAGCCTGTGCCCAGTGTTGACACTTACAGAAATTATCACTGTGCCTTCGTTGTTTGGCTTTCAAGATAGATCAGAGCTGGGCAATGATGGCACACCTTTAATCCCAGCAATCGGACAGCAGAGGCAGGTGGATCTCTATGAGTTCGAGCCAGCCTGGTCTACAGAGTAAGTTCCAGGACAGCCAGAGAAACAAGCAAACAACAGATGCATCATGATTTAAGTTTTAAGAGTGCACCTCCTGTTTTCTCCCTGCTCTGAGGCACAGAAGGCACTAGATGTTGCCAAGGGACTGGTGTCCTAAGAACGCTCTCAATGCTGAAAGGGTTCCTTCTTCAGGGGAAGCGCTTGGGTGATGTTCCAAGTCATGCCCATATTTTCTGTCACAGGTCAGAAGCCAACGACCTGGCCTTGAGACTGGCTCGCCAGTGCACAGGACACCAAGATGTGGTGGTATTAGACCAGTAAGTGTAACTCACAGCCCTGCTTCTCCAGAACCTGGGCTCCACAGGCCTGTACGGGGTTAGCGAGGCTCTGGCTTTGAGACCTTAAGTGGGGAAGTGGAGGATACAGGACCACGGGAAGCCAGCGTAGCAAGAAAACCAGACCACAGTGACACCTCCCTGGAGGTCTTGTCTTCACCAGCTTTCTGAGAGAACAGCAGCTGGGGAAGGAAAGCAGCCTCACACCATCTGGAGGTTCAGCTGACTGCTCTAGAGACCAAAGGCCATCAGAGATCAGTTAATGTTTAAGATGTACTGTAACCCTATGCCCCCACTTTACAGAGGAGAAAACTGGACCCAGAGTGGGCAGGTGACCAGAATTGTGGCATGCCAGTAATTAGCCTTGCAGGAAGTCACTCCAAGCCTGCACTCATCCCAAGCTCAAGGACTTGGTACCTGAGGAAGAAAGATTGGCTTCCCCGTGTTTTGTCTTCAAAAGTGGTAGACAGTGGCTAAGGCTGGTCCAGGGAGTAAATGCAAACACGCCTAAGCCCACATCCTCCTTCTTCCTAGTGCTTATCACGGTCACCTGAGCTCCTTGATCGACATCAGTCCCTACAAGTTCCGAGATCTGGATGGCCAGAAGGAATGGGTCCATGTGGTATGCATGCTTCCATTAGCACCAGGTCAGTTTCCACCCTCGAGTCCGGATGACATGGCAGTGTCTCTCCCCACAGGCTCCTCTCCCAGACACCTACCGGGGCCCCTACCGGGAGGACCACCCCAATCCAGCAGAGGCCTATGCCAATGAGGTGAAGCAAGTGATCAGCATCGCACAGGAGAAGGGCAGGAAGGTAACCACACCCACACCAGTCCAGAGGATGTCAAGTCTGCTATGACAAAATGCTGAGAGCCTAGACAGTGTGAGAGTAGAACGAGCCCCAGGCCTGGTGGCACAGGTGTTATTCTAGCTACCGGAACTATAAATCAGGGTCACCCTAAGCAACTTAGTGAAACTCTATACCAAATAATTTTAATTTTTAAAATTATTTTAGTATTTTGCGTGTATGGGTGTTTTGCCTACATGTATGTTTGTGCATCATGTGTGTGCAGTACCCTTGGGGGTTAGAAGAGAACGTTGGATCCCCAGGGACTAGAGTTATAGATGGTTGCGAGTCACCATGTGAGTGCTGGGGATTGAATTCAGGTCCTCTGGAAGAGCAGCCACCACTGAGCCATCTCTCCAGCCCTGGAATTTTTTACAAAGTAAAAAAGAAAAGATGGGCAGTGTGGTGTAGTAGCTCACACCTTTAATCCCAGCTCTCAGGAGGCAGAGTCAGATAGACTTGAGTTTGAGGCCAGTGTGGGCTATATAGGAAGTTACAGACCAATCAGGGCTAGAACTGAGTCCCCATCTCAAAGAAAAAGGGGGTGTAGTGAGAATGTAGCTCTGTTTACCTAGTATGTGTGTGAAAGACATCATGGACTCAATTCCAGTACTGAAAAGGGAGAAAAAAAAAATGAGACCCTGATTTTGATTTGAGAATCTCGTGTGAAGAGGGGCTGAGGCTCGTTAATGTCCAGCCTAGTTCTAATACATTGGAGAGAGTAGGGACCCCAGGGCCCAGGCTGGAACAGGGCGGATCTAAGGAGGCTCCTTAGAGGAAGTTACTATGGAGTTACATAGTAAAAGGTAAGATTCAGCATTCCAAGTAGGGTAGGAGGCGGGAGAGGAAGAGCTAACTGAACAGGCAGCTGCACAGATGAGGACCACATGACGGAGGCCAGGTAGAGCAGGTTGTCAGATGGACCTAGACAAGCAGGCAGGACCCATATGCCTGGAATTTACCCAGGGACCTCAACACAGAAGGCGAGGACACCCAAGGACTGGTCTGTTCTCTGTCTTGGGTTGCATGCCAGATATAGTTCACTGGGACAGCCTAAAGACAAGGACCATGAGGCTGCCTCCCAGGGCAGTCGATGGGGATTCTGCGGAAAGGCAGGTGGGAGTGTATACCCTGGGAGAACAAGGTCCACGGTGCTAGCAACTGGGCTCTATAAAACTGAAGGAGTGACCAGCAAACACTGTTTAGGGAAAAAGTAGGCTGTGGTGCCAGAGAGGTTAGCAGAACCAGCTAAGGGGCTCTGATACACCACAAACACTTCAAAAGAACCTGTGGTGTTGGTCATAATAGTGCACGCTTTTATTCCACACTCGGAGACAGAGGTGGGCAGATCTCTGAGTTTGAGGGTCTACAGAGTTCATTCTAGGGCAGCCAGGGCTATACAGACAAACCCTCCCTTGAAAACTAGAGATAGATAGATAGATAGATAGATAGATAGATAGATAGATAGATAGAT